AGCCCTGTGATAGACTGGTTACCTGTCCAGGTGAACCTGCCTTCACCCTGAGTCAGCTGGGATAGACTCCAGCCCCCCATGACCCTAATGAGGATTAAGGTGTATAGATGATGGATGGATTGATGAACACAAAACATCTTTGTTTCAAGGCAGGTATAAAATATGGTTGAATAACGTCCAGAAAAGTGTTCCTGCAGAACGTCAGAGTGAAGCTGACTTTTGACCTTTGGGATATAAAACATCATCACTTCATCTCTTAGACATTCATGTGAGCAGGTTTTGGAGGATTGTTGAAAAAAAATCTGGTTTCTATGATGTCAAATTCACTCTGACCTCTGATATTTCACCAACACAATTTAAACAGTCGAAGTGGATTTTTTATTATTTTTTCTTGACAAATTTCAAGAAACTCTGAGATATTGCGTTTACTCACGGACACGCACTGCCTTCGCCCTCAGCTCTCACATTACTTCAATCCAAGTCCCTAAAATAAACAGCTTTCAGTCGAGCCCCTTGGTTTCTTTTTCTTTTTTCTGTGAAGTAACTGACACTCACCACGCATCACCCTCAGAACTCCACACACACTTTCAGAACACAATGACGCGTGTGAACAGAGGAGAGCGTGAAGTGCCAGTCAGTCAAGACGTCGGTCGGGCGGAGGTGAGCTAAATCAGGAGCGAGTGGGTGAGCCTTTGCTTCCTGCTAATGTGACACTTTCATTAGAACAGAACGGCGCTTGCTAAATGATGGGCCACGTTTTCATCGCTGCAGATGCTCACGGCGACGGCGAACGCCCGAATAAACGTCGATTCGAGCGTTCTTCGCAGCCGCCTCTTGATCTGCAGCTAACGCCCGGGAGTACAGACTTGACGGTAATCTACAGTGGAAACAGAGGTGCTTTGTGCTCATTGTTTACCGCGGCGATGACTTGATGGAGCAGCTGCACATGTTTGCACTGTGGCACTTCTTAGGCGGCTATATTTAACATGGCTTGTGCGATGTGTGTTCGCTCCGTCAGCAACAGTAGAAGATCTGTGATGCTCTGATGTTAATACAAACACAGTTCTTTAACATCTGTTTTTGCTAAAAGGTAGAAAACGCTTCCGTACTGCAGCTATCGAAGCTGCTCCACTTAATCCAGACTAAATAATGCTGCATAATGAGGGCAGGATTGACGAACAGCTGCTCTTTTAACTCGTGCATCGCAGACTTCAGGTGAACACAGTCGCCTGGTTGTGCTCCTAACATGTCAGTTTTGCATTCAGAGTTATATCGTCGTTAAAGAAAGTTTTACAAACATATAAACTTGNTTAAGGTAGTTCTGAAGGTAAAAGTGCCTCCAATCCAGTTCTGGCACGGTGTGGCTAATAAAGTGGCAGCTGGATATTGAAGTATGGTGCAAAAGTAACAAGAGAATTAAAACCTATTTGTCATGGCTGGCCATCAGTGCTCGCAGCTCCACTGCTTCTACTCCCAGAGCTGCAGAAAGCCTTGGGTTGCGGTTCGGTTTTTCTTACCGCTCTCTGTAAGCTGTTGTTACTTTGATGGACCCCCTGCTGCTGAGTTATGACTACGGCTACCCTTAATACTCTCATTACCAGCCACCTTCAACTTTGAACGCGACTCCACTGTTTTTAAATAACCCCCGCTGGGTTTGAACTGCAGGTCTCGGAGAAAAGTAATGGCTTTGAGTTTTAACGGCTGTAAATACAGTAATGATAGACTGCGATATGTAAAGAGCATCATGCCACCGCGGCCCTACATCCATTTTCATGGTCATTAAGTGTCTGTTCAGGCTCCTACGCTGCTCCTTCTTGTGCTCAGTTCATTTACTTGATTAGAACGATGACAGCGTGAGTCTAAAGAGATGGATGAGAGGCGGCGAGTTTGCAATCTGGCTTTTAGTCGGTTAAACCGAGCCGCTGGAGTAGATTTACTAGACGTGAAGAGAATAGCTCTCTCTTCATGTGTGCTTCTTCTTTCTTCTTTGCTATTCTCATCCTCCTTCCCATCGCTTCTCCCCTCCGCTCAGCTCGCTACACCTATCTGTTTGAGTTATCAGCCAGGCTGCTAATGACTGCCAGGCTGTCTGCTGTGATAATGGGCTAACAATATGAGATAATGAGCTAACAGTGAGCTGTTACACAACTCGGCTGTTAATGTCTGTAACATACTCGGCTGAGTGCAGCGCGGCGTATCGACGTGTGCGCTACAGAGAAAGGAAAAAGGTAAACAGGAGTTAAATTGATATTAACGGCTCAGCCTCGGCGCAGAGGCTCTCAGACAACATCGCAAAAATCATTTGCTTATTTCCTCGGCGGAGCGAGAATTACCGCCTCGCCGCTGTACGTCTGCGCCACGTCGCAGTTTAAGATCCAAGTCTGTCCAAACTCACACAACACATGTGGTGAAGACTTTGAAGTGAAAGTTCAATGAGAGGAACGAAAACAGAGGTTTTGACAGCAGACGATGCCTCAAATCACGTTTTATGCTGTATTGTCACCGTGAATGAGAGTCTTGATCCTAGTTGGTTTTTCCTGATTAAATAAAGGATATCAAACAAAACAAAGGGCTGCA